GGATTTTTTGGGATATTTTTGGTTTTTCTCCCCTTTATTTTTAGGATATTTTTGGATTTTCTCACCTGTATTTTTTAGGATATTTTTGGGTTTCTCACCTGAATTTTTAGGATATTTTTGGTTTTTCCCCCTCCATTTTTAGGATATTTTTAGGGTTTCTCACCTGGATTTTTTGGGGTGTTTTTGGGGATTCTCACCTGGATTTTTAGGATATTTTTGGGCTGTCTCACCTGTATTTTTGGGATATTTTGGGGCTCTCTCCCCTGTATTTTTTAGGATATTTTTGGTTTTTCTCACCTGAGTTTTTGGGGATATTTTTGGGGTTTCTCACCTGGATTTTTGGGGTATTTTTGGGATATTTTGGGCTGTCTCCCCTGTATTTTAAGTATATTTTTGGGGCTGTCTCACCTGTATTTTTAGGATATTTTTTAGGGTTTCTCCCCTGTATTTTTTAGGATATTTTTGGTTTTTCTCACCTGAATTTTTAGGATATTTTTGGTTTTTCCCCCTCCATTTTTAGGATATTTTTGGGGTTTCTCCCCTGGATTTTTGGGGTATTTTTGGGGATTCTCACCTGGATTTTCTAGGACATTTTGGGCTTTCTCACCTGGATTTTTTGGGGTATTTTTTAGGGTTTCTCCCCTGTATTTTTGGGATATTTTTGGTTTTTCTCCCCTTTATTTTTGGGATATTTTTGGGGTTTCTCACCTGCATTTTTAGGATATTTTTAGGGTTTCTCCCCTGTATTTTGGGGATATTTTTAGGGTTTCTCACCTGTATTTTTGGGGTGTTTTTGGGATATTTTTGGGGCTGTCTCCCCTGTATTTTTTAGGATATTTTTGGTTTTTCTCCCCTTTATTTTTGGGATATTTTTGGGGTATTTTTGGGCTGTCTCCCCTGTATTTTTGGGGACATTTTTAGGGTTTCTCACCTGGATTTTTTAGGATATTTTTGGGCTTTCTCACCTACATTTTTAGGATATTTTTGGTTTTTCTCCCCTGTATTTTTGGGATANAAAAAAGGGGGAAAAAAAGGGAAAAAAAGGGGGAAAAACGGAAAAAAAAAAGGGAAAAAACCGAAAAAAAAAAAACGGAAAAAAGGGAATAAAAAAAAGAAAAAAAAGGGGAAAAAAGGGGAAAAAAGGAATAAAAAAAGGGAAAAAAAGGGAAAAAAGGAATTAAAAAAGGGGAAAAAAAGGAAAAAAAAGGAATAGAAAATGGGAAAAAAGGGAATAAAAAAAGAGAAAAAAGGGGAAAAAAAAGGGGGAAAAAGGAATAGAAAATGGGAAAAAAAGGAAAAAAAAAAGAGAAAAACAAGGGGAAAAACAAAGGAAAAACGGGAAAAAAAAAAGGGAAAAAAGGAAAAAAAACGGGAAAAAAAAGAATTGAAAAAGGGAAAAAAGGGAATAAAAAAGAGAAAAAAAGGGAAAAAAACGGGAAAAAAACGGGAAAAAAAAGGAATAGAAAATGGGAAAAAAGAGAATAAAAAAGAGAAAAAAAAGGGAAAAAAAAAAGAAAAAAACGGGAAAAAAAAGGGAAAAAAGGAATTTAAAAAGGGGGAAAAAAAAGGAATAGAAAATGGGAAAAAAGGGAATAAAAAAAGAGAAAAAAAGGGAAAAAGGCGGGAAAAAAGGAGAAAAAAAAGGGGGAAAAAAGAAAAAAAAGAAAAAAAAAGGGGGAAAAAAGGAATAGAAAATCGGGAAAAAAGGGAATAAAAAAAGAGAAAAAAAAGGGGAAAAAAAGAAAAAAACGGGAAAAAAGGAAAAAAAAAGGGGGAAAAAACGGGAAAAAAGAAGAATTGAAAAAGGGAAAAAAAGGGAATAAAAAAGAGAAAAAAAAGGGAAAAAAAAGGGAAAAAAAGGAATAGAAAATGGGAAAAAAAAGGGGAAAAAAAAGGGAAAAAAAAAAGGGAAAAAGAGACCCCTCCCCCCAATTTGGGGAGAGGGGGACGGAGGAAAAATTGGGGGGGGACCCCCCCCCCCAAAAAAAAAAAACCAAACCCGACTTTTCAAAAGTGCCAAAATCACCAAAAAATGGCC